CACACACGCACATACAGAACGACACAGAACAAACAACACGACAACACTCCTTGTCCCTTAGTAGCCATCCCATAACTCTCCGATGCGGAAATCGGATAGCCGTCGCGTGAAAGATTTAATATAAAACCGCGCGGGCGCAAAGCCACTCATATCGATTCGCAATGCAAGCATATGCAAGCAATCGCAATGATGGCGTACTATGTAGCGCCTATAATCATGCGGTCCCCAGTAGTTTCGAGGGTCATATTCGACACTCGAGTGCCGACTGACACGCGCCTCGAGGGATTGATCTCTCTACGCTGGACAACCGCCAAGTGCGGTTGAGAACCACACCCTCTTCTGCACGCTGCGAAAAGTGGGTGGTACACAGGGTCATACCTGTGGTGGCAATCGTCTCTTATCACCTTGGAGACCAGCTCCATCATCCAGGGCCTGAAGAGAAATCAAGGGGATTGACTTTGACGGTTGCCACGGACTACAACATCCAGCTATAAAAACTCTAAAAAGCAAAAGATAACAGGGGATTTCCCTTTTCTCTCAAAAAAATAATTTGTTTAACACTTACGCGTGGCCACAGTAGGCCCCACAAAACACTCAAGGCATGTGTATTTACATGTATATAGAGGGTTATAAATATGTGACGATCACTTCTCACAATCACCGTGAGACTCCTCTCAGCCATATATATGTATATGATCGCAGGCGGTCAAATCCAAAGTCCGAACCACCAAACATACATCCACTGACATCAAAAGATTCAACAAAAAGTCCATGCGCTACACAGGGTCAACTTCAATCATTCTCTGCACTCACACCCCTCGCTTTAGCCATGCAAGCCTCACTTTTGTGCAACTCCTTCAAATAAAATACTCAGTACTTTTCTTAAATGGCCATTCAAATAAAGTCCGGGCGAAAACACAACAAAACAGTTCAAATCATAAGGCTAAGGCCTTTAGGTTGAGGGGCAGGAGTGGATTGGAGTTGAATCGTAAACCGACGAATCGGCAACCGACCTGTTATCAATGATAATAGAAGGTGATCCTTGTAGGATCAAGTTGAATCTAGTGCTGATTTCGAATCAAATGTTCAAGAGGATGTGTAACACAAGACAGACCAATCCTCAAGCTAAATCTACGAGTCCAAATCGAGAGTAATCTTCATAACACGATTTCACCAAGAATCATCCTACTTAACTAAGCCTGAGTTTACCCCTAAGTTAGTGCCTAAAAAAAAGGTAGACCTTTGGCAGAAGCTCTTCTATACAGAGTGGATTGCCATAATTGTTCCCTCCTCTAAACTAAGAAAATTTCGACAGCGCTTCTCGTAGGAACAGTGCCTTCTCAGAATTTATAATAACTCAAATATGAAAACAAAAATCAAACTCTAATTTTGGAAAGTCAAATTTTGTCTAACTCCCTAAATTAGTAAAAATTTGGGCAGCATCTCCTTTCGAAAGGTAGACTTCCCAGATTTATACTAAGTCAGATAGGAACTCAGAAGCCAGACTTGAGTTCGGTTTAGAACAAAGTTCAACTGACCCATTAGATTTGTAGAAATTTCGGGAGCGCTTCCCGTAGATAAAGTGTTATTCCAAGATTTATACAAAGCTAAGTTCAAAGTCTAGAAAATAAATTGAGTTCCCAAAGTTCAATTTTGTCTAACTCCTTGAATCGCTACAAATTTGGACAACACTCTCTTTAGAAAAGGAGACCTCCTAGATTTTTACTAAGTCATGTATATAATTTAGACAAACTGAGCTTTGGAAAGCCAAAATTTGACTACTCCTTGGTTTTGCAGAAATTTCGGCAGCGCTTCCCGTGGAGAAAGTGACTTACCAAGA